AATAGAAAATTTGACTTTCCAATACAAGACTCAAGTGGAACACAAAGAGGTAAACAGGAAATAGAAATCATAAGAGACTTGTTAAGGTTGGACTGTTTATATTCCTGCATGGAAAGATGATATTTGTAACTCATGAGACCTTTGTCAGCATTAGGGTAATTGGAGGAAAAAAAATATATGTATGTATGTGTATATATATTTATATACATATATAGATAGATAGATATAGATATAGAGAGATAGATAGAGGACACAGGGTGAGTTGAAGATGAAGGGGTCATATCTGGAGAATAAAATTAAGGGGTGAGAGAGGATTATACTAGGAGAAGGAGAAAGGGAAAGATACAACGGGGTAAATTATGTCACAAAAAAAGAGAAAATAAAAGGCTCTTACAGTAGAGGGGAAATGGTGGAAGGTGAGAGGGAATGAGTGAATCTTATTCTCATAGGATTTGACTTAAGGAGGGAATAACATATGCAATCAATTGGGTATGGAAATCTGTCTTACCCTACAGGAAAATGGGGGGGGGAAGGGGACAAGAGAGTAGGGGGATGATAGAGAGGAGGGCAGATTGGGAAAAGGGGTAATCAGAAGCAAATACCTCTGAGGAGGGACAGAATCAAAAGAAAGAATAGAATAAATGGGGGGGCAGGATAGGATTAAGAGAAATAGAGTTAGTTTTTCACAGCATGTCTACTATGGAAGTGTTTTGCATAACTGCACATGTATAACCTATATTGAGTTGCTTGCCTTTTCAATGAGGGTGGGTGGGGAGGTAGGAAGGAAGAAAATTTGGAACCCAAAGTTTTAAAAACACATGTTTCAAAAAAATGTTTTCACATGCAACTGGGAAATAAGAAATACAGGAAATGGGGTACAGAAATCTATCCTGCCCTACAGGAAAATAGAAGGGGAAGGGGGGGGAGAGATAACAGGGAAAGCAGACTGGGGGAAGGGGTATTCAGAATGCATGCCATCTTGGGGTGGGAGGAGGGCCAAGATAGGGTGAAAATTTAGAACTCAAAATCTTGTGGAAATAAATGTTGAAAACCCAAAATAAATAAATTTATTAATAAAAAAAAGATAAGGTCTTGCAGAAAGTGGGACTTTAGATGAGACTTAAAGGAAGCCAGGAAAGTCAGGAGGTAGATATGAAGAGGGGGCCCAATCCAGTCACAAGAGGACAGCTAGTGGAAATGTTCATTTGGGGAAATGGGGTGTGAGGAACAGCAAGGAGGTCAGTGTCACTGTGAATGTGGAGGGAAGTAAGGTGTAAGAAGACTGAAAAAGTAAGAAAGGGAGACCCCAAGGGAAAAAAGCACAGAGTACCTGGGGTAAGCTGGAGCAGGAAGAAGTAGAAAACCAAAAGGATGCTGACAGAGCCATCCAAGAAGTAAGACCTTGCATAAATCTTGCAGTTTGGGGAATTGTTACTGAACCACTGACATGACTTTAATTGCAAAGACCTATTGTTAGGGCAGTAAAATGGCAATAAGACACTTTGTAAAGGTGCATGTGGTACACAATTATAACCCACTTCACAATCCATATCTGTATTTACAGTAAGAGTCAGCCTACAACTGTGGTTAAGTATCATTTACCAAAGAGAAGTGCAACTCTCATATGGCTATGTTCTATAAAATTAACTGAGAAAGCTACTGGGAAAGTCACAGGGGAGTTTCTTTTCATGCCTGATGATCATGTAGGCTGCATAACGATAACAATAATAACAACAACAACTTGCATACACATAGCACTTAAGGGTTTATAGAGTATGTGACTCAAAATAGCTGTGGGATAGGCAGTGCAAGTATTCTCTATCCCCATTTTACTGATGAGGACATGGACGGTTAGAAAAGTTAGGTGACTTGCTCAGAATTACACAGCTTTATGTGTCAGGGCTGGGTTTTAGATACAGGTCTTTTGACACCAGTGTTCTTTCCCCTCCACCATACTTCTAGTGCCTAGATGCATATATATCTGAAGACATTTAGCCATTGGTCTATACAGCATAAGACATTTGTCTAATTGTAACAGTCTAGACATGGATCACAGGCTTTTTTGTACTAGCCCTATATCTTCATTGAAATAAGGAATTACCAGAAAGGAAACTCCCCCTTCAGTAAAGATTTGCAGCTACTTTGTATCTTAGAGTTCCAGTGAGTTGCTCAGGTCACTGAGCTATTAATAATTTGCCCAGGGTCACATATCCAGTGTGTGTCAGACATGGAACATGGATGCAGGTCTTCCTGGCTCTAAGGTAGGCTCATAATCCATGATACCACACTGCTCTCACATACATTACAAATAGTACCAATATTCTGACCAGGAGTGTAATGGTAAATATTTAATAACCATCCCTCCAGGAAAGAAATATGTACACATGATATATTTTAAGTTTAAACTGTCATATTTTTCTATCACTTTCTAAAATATAGACAATCAATAAAATGATAAATCAAGCCCTGATTTGTAGGGTTTACCAATTTTTAAGGAGTGAATGCTCACACTGAAAATTTAACAACCAGATCTGTCACCCAGTGTGAGCTGGCTCCAGCACAACCCATAATTTTAGAACATGAATCCTCATGGTATATTCATGAAATTGTTAGGAAATTCCAGCAGTTCATGTAAGGTAAATTGACAGGTGATCATACTGGTAAGTGGATAGAGAAGGATTAGAACCTATAAATGTTCTTCAGTTCAGGTCCTGACATGAAAACTTTCATATTTTAAAAAAAAAAGATAAATGAAGGAAAAACATCTTTTGAATTTGATAAATGAAAGCAGGTCAATATATTTAAATTTTAGATGGTTTTGTTTTACTGTGGCACACTTGACAATATTGTGTTGCCTTTTATTTACATTTATCCTTCATAGGCACTATTCTGCATGCATTTTTGTCTCCTTGACCTCCTTTCCCCAAACTTTTATACCAAGTCCTAAAATTCTGAAAGTTTGCTTTTATTGCCCAGTCTATTTTGTACTGTTTCCCAGCTACAGTTATCCCTTCCACATAGGGGTGCAGTATCCCCACAATCTGGACAATTCTCATAAAATGTTTTGGGCCTCCCTTCATATCATATTTTTTTCTTTTTCTTTTATAAGGTGTCTACAGTACTTTATTATAAAATTTGGGTTGAGTATTTGGTCATGGGCTCTGATGTCATCTGTTAACCTTTGCGTGTCATCTGTGGCTTCTCGCAAAACTCCCCCCAAATTTCCATTTAATTTCTTATGCTGACCCATGATATATTGAAACCATGATGGGGAAAGTCATGAGGTAGAAGGGATAATTGTATTTTCTTCTCTTTCTCAACTTTAGCACCTTTGTTTGATCACACTCATTGACTGAGTTCCAAGTTCCCAGTGAGTTCACAATAAAGATTTCAACAGATATGCTTTCTTTGGGAGAGGGTGCTCCCCGTAAGATTAATCTGCTAATGGACTGATGTTTGGTTAAGTTTGATTCCCAGAGCCCAGTAAGGTGCCATCCATCCACACTGATTGCTAAATTACCAGAGGATAAACTGCTTTTCTACCCAATACATGCTTTTAAGGGATGATAGCAAATTAGTAGCTAAACTTTTTTTAACAATACAATCTCTATAATTTCATGATGCTAAATTTTATAGACGTTAAATGAGCTCAGGTTGCCCTGATAATATGCCATGTTGTGAGTAATCAGGTTTTCTCTCATATTAGTCTGGCACAGATCTCACTCTCAGGTTTGGGCTTTTAGTAGGAAAGAGAATAAGGTGTTTTATATTTACCTCTTTAATGTGCAGGAAGTCCTTGGCATCAAAGGAGATGGCAGTGCTCGGAACAGGGACGTCTTCATCTAGAGCTCCACAATAACTCACATTCGTTTTCACAGCAAATGCTACAGGTTTTGACTGGGGAAAGAAACATGAAAAAAGAAAGGGAGAAAGGTACTGTAAGTTGAAACTTTTCAAATTGAAATGTTTTCTTCTCTGATCTGGCTGGATATGAATGTAAATCAACACCCAGAGAGAAATCCCAAAAGGATTTTGTATTCTCAGGTATTCTGGAAAGTCAGGAAGTCTGGGAAGTTTACAATGAAAATAAATAGGAAATATGTAATAAATCTCAAAAACGCTAAGGAATCAGGGCAAGGCATGGTGAAAGTCATCTAAAGCATTTCCCAGGGGATCCTTGAATGTGTATAAAGTTACTGACAGGTCCTACCCTGGAAAACAAATGCTAGCTTTGAAAGACTAAGGAACTGTGATCAATACAAAGATCAACCTTGATTTTAGAGGCCCAAAGACAAAGCATGCTATGTACCTCTTGGCTATTCCAAAATCATTATTCCAGAATCCTTCATATATAAGTCATTTTCTGTAACAACCCACATTTGGGCAACCATAATTAAAATGTATCAGACCTCGAAAGAAACTTTACAAAGCCATGGAATGAACAAATTGGTCCTCATAGGACCTGTGGTATTATGCTAGCACCCATGATTGCCACTGGACAATGCGGCTAGATAGCAGCCCATCATACAAGAATTGCATACATGCTCTCACTGTCTCCTCACTCATGAAGGTGCTGAGCACCTACAACTTTACCTTTTTTCAGCTGAAGCAGATGTGCTTACCACATTTACCTGCCTAATTCTCCTCCATCGCCCTTTTCATCAGATATTTTACTGCTAAAGTGGGGAGATGAGGAGAAATCCTGTAGGTAAATAGCTCCTGGCTCTTACTATAAATAGAGGTGAGCCTCAGGGACTCTTTCTTTCTGAGGTATGGGAAGGTCTGACATTTAACAATATTCTGTAACTCTTGTATTTCCTGCACCTCCTCCCTGATCATGGCTGTACTAGTTTCAGGTCTTTACTTGTATCTGTGAGAAATTAATGTTTTTCACAGATATGGGATGAGATGGGAGAAGGAAATTACATGAAAGACCCAGAGAGGCAAATAGAGAAACCAGGAATGTCTCAGATCTAACCTGCTACACCAGCTAGTCTAATGGAGAAGCAAAGAACAGAGTCCACTTCTAATTGCCCCTAGAATAGCTTTGTACTTCTCAGTACGCTTGAAGACCAGAAGGAGCAAGCTTGATCCTGGCTGAAACCAGCTTGGGTGGCCAGTTTGCAAGTGAATGGCACTTCACAAAGGGAACACAGAGAAGCTGTGTATAAAGGGAAGATAGGGCTGTTACTTCAGGAAGTGATCACTTACCAAGGGCATTATTCATCTCTTTTGGGGGGAAGGGATCCTACAGGTCTATAATCAGGTGCTTTATTTGGATACCAACAAGATATTCACCATTAGAAACCTGGAAGGTTGAGACAAGGCATTCGTAGCCAGGTCCCACTAAGCAACGGGTCATGTCTGAACAAAAGAGGAAAAAAAAATCACCTTTGCCCTTTCAAGTTGAATAGCTGCCTGTTGTTCTCTTTCTTGACGAATCGCTTCTCTATCTTCTTCCAACGATACATCAGAATCAGACGGTCTACTAGTATAGGAATCCGCTGAACCCTGCAAAGGAAAACATTCAGCAGAATAGGACAATGAGAAGAATATTAAGTTTTCAGATTCATAAGAGAATCCAGGGGGTTTGTTCTTTCCATTTGCATGAAAACCAGTGCAGAAAATATGTGCTTTATTGCAGATATAAATTTAGAATGTAGACTTTTTAGCAAGGCATCTGGGTAACTTTAAAAGGTAGCAACGCTGCAAGGGAAAATATTTTGACTAGACTAAATGCTAGGAAATATACTGCAGGGAAAATTATGCAATTTTAAATCTCAACATTTCTTGTTTTCTGATGTCTTTACATTGAACAAGCATTTATCTGTGGAATTTGCACCTCACCCCTATTCTTTCATATGTATGTGTATGTGGAATAATTATACTGGGAAAAGAGATTCAGCTTATTATAAGGCAAATCCTAAGGGAAGGACTCAGATTAACGATCACATATTAGTCAAAGTTTACAACAGAACAAAGCAGGCTCCTATACAGTCATCCTGTGGCTTTGCTAGTTTACATTTCAACACTATATTCTATACAAAAGTATTTCAACCTGTCACTCAGCCCGCACCCGGTTCTGACAAGGCAGCTGCAAAGCAGACAAACATGTTTAGAGCTGGCAGCAGGAATATGCAGAGTCACACTCAGAAGGGGGTCAGCTACACTGAGCAAGAGTGAAATCACATCCTAAGCCGGCTGAAGTAGCAAGCCTAGAAGCAACTGCTGCCACTTTGGTGGTTGCAAAGCAAGAAGAGATGACTGTCAAATGGAGGGGGAGGGGGGAGAGAGAATCTGAAAGACTTGCTTTCTCACTCCTAAAATGGTTTCATGTGGCCACCTTATTTTAAAGGGTGACAAGGCTGAAACTTATAGGAAATTATGAAACATGTGTGTATATATAAATGTGTGTGTATGTAAATGCAAGTGTAGTATGTATAGACAGATATACATATACATATATTTGATAAATTGATATTCTTTGAGTAGCTTTGCAATCTTCTGCTAAATATTAATGGCAGAAAATGCCCAGTGTTCATACACTTCACAGGCAGAAAAGGACAGTTCCCCTCAAGAGACTCTACAGCCTCCCTTGGGGTGGTTGCTGTCTTCAAAAATGGTAGGAGTGATGCTTAAGTGATGGCATGTTCCAAAACCTGTTAGGTGACAGCTCTCACTCTCCCTATCTGTAAAGTTAGAACCTACTACTATAAACCTCTTTACATGAATTGTTGTCATTCAGTCATTTCAGTCATGACTAATTCTTCATGACCTCATTTGGGATTTTCTTGGCAAAGATAATAGAGTGGTTTGCCATTTCCTTCTCCAGCTCATTTTGCAGATGAGGAAACTGAGGCAAACAAGATTAAGTGACTTGCCCAAGGTCACACAGCTAGGAAGTGTCTGAGGCTTAATTTGAACCCAGGTCTTCCTATCTCCAGGTCCAGTGCTCTATCCACTGTGCCACAGTAGCTGTCCCTTTACATGAGTACTACCCAATATTTCAGTTTGCTTAGAAACTGAGACAGCAATTACATCTTAGAGGTCGGGTACATTGATTTATAATAGAATCATAGATATAGAGCTGAAATTGAAGCAACAGGCTATGAAGTCCAATTCTCTCATTTTACAGATAAGAAAAGAACAGAGAGTTTTAAGTGACTTGCCTAGGGTCACTCAGCTACTGTCTGAGGATTTGAACCCAGATCTTCCTGACTACAAGTCCAGTACTCTATCCACTATACCATACTACTTTTCACAATTTATCTTATTTATATTATAGTATTTATTGGATTTTCCATCAAATTCTTTTTCTGATGCCTCATTAAAGTGACCCTAGATTTTTAAAAGCAATGCTAGCAGAAGGCAAGCTCTGGTAGCACTAGCTTCAGAGTCAGAAGACTCCAAATCTAGTTACTGAACTCTGCCACTATTTGATACTAGGAAAGTCATAGTCTCTAGGGCCTCATTTCTTCATCTGTAAAATGAGACGATTGAACTAGCTGACCTCTGAGGTTCCTTCCCTATTCCTCGCTCATAGTAAGCAAATAATAAAGGTAGTTTCACTTGTCCTTGTATCTCCTGGAGTATTTGGTACATTCTAGTCAATTGGTCAGATACCTTTAATCAAGGGCATACTGCATGCCTGGCCCTGTGCTAAGTTCTAGAGAGACAACATGAAAACAACTCTGTTTTAACAAGATATCTACAGGACACATAGAGGGTGGTCTACAGAGGGAAGGCACTAAGAGTAAGCAGGACGTGGACAGGCTTCTTGCAATAGGTGACATTTTAGCAGGGACATGAAGAAAGGAAGCCAATGAAGCGAGGAGGTAGAAATGAGGACAGGGAGCAGGGGGAGGCCAAGTTGGGAAATAGAGTTTTGTGTGGGAGGATCAGCAAGGAAGCCAGTGTCACTGGATCACAGAATATGTGGAAAGGAGTGAGGTGTAAATAGACTGGAAAAGTGGGAAGGCGCCAGATTATGAAGGGCTTTAAAAGCCAAACCAAGGGTTTTGTATCTTATTTTTGAGGCAATAGGGAGCCCCTGCAGTTGATTGAATGGGGGAGGGTGATATGGTCAGACTTGACCTTTGGGGAGATCAATTTGACAATGGGGTGGAGTATAGATTGAAGGGGGAAGAGACTTGTGGCAGGGAGGCCAACCAGTAGGCTACTGAAATAGTCTAGGTGGGGGTGATGAAGTTCTGCACCAATGTGGTTGCATTATCAGAGGAGAGAAGAAGACACACACATGAAATGTTATGAAGGTAGAAACAAAAACACTTGGCAAACTGAGAGTGTGTGTGAGAGAGTGAAGTGTCATCCTTGACACTGAGTTTGTGGGTCTAGGTAACATGGACAATGGTGGTACCATCAACATTAATAATAAGTTAGGAAGAGGAAACAATGTGGGGAGAAAAGTAATGAGTTCTTGTCTGGGACATGTTCACTTTAAGATATATCTAAGAGACATCAAGTTAGAAATGTATAATAAGCATTTAGACATATGAGACCTCAGGAGAGCAGTTAGGGCTGGACACTTTTAGATGTGAGAATCATTTACAGAGATGAAAACTGAAACCATACGAGCTAATGAGACCAACAAGTGAAATGGTATAGAGAGAGAAAAGGGCCCAGGACAAAGTCTTGGACATTTAATAATACTTATTGATTTACTGATTGACATTTTTTAAAAGTTCTCTTCAAAGAATCTATGTTTAGATTATGTTCAACAAATTAAGCTTATTCACCAAATGCTTTTAAGCAAATATATGTGTGTGCATACACACACACACACATATAGATTTCAAAAATCTGGGTCCACAAAACAGATATGTTTAAAGTGGATTATTCACATTTTTTAAAAATGCTTTGTTTTAGCAAACTTTTCAGGAACACACCTGTTGTACAAAGTTAGGAACACTTGTATAAAATACATTTAATATTGAAAAGGAAAAAAGACAATAGGATTCTAGAGTATATATAAATACATGTCCTATGATTTCATGGTTTTCCTTCAAACCTAAGGTGTGCTTTAATTGGAGTCTGAGGCATACAGCAAACCTGTTTCAAACTGTCAGTAGTAGCAGATGTGGCTATATTATGGACATTAAAATGATTATACAGTAGTAAGTTGAAAGGAATGCTGCTGCCTCATTTGGAGAGCATGCATCAATAAAAGCTAATGTCTGCAGTTTACAAGAAAGTAGGCTGCCCCGGAAACCAATGAGTCAAAAGCCTAAAACACTCAACCCGCTATTGACACTGGGATTTGGCTAATTTCCCAAACTGTCTTCCAACTTCTCAAATTATGGTATGCAGCCTTGTCTCAAAAAATAACTGAAAGCTTCCTGAATACTTTTTTTTAATGTAAACAGGGATGTAAGATCTTTTACATTATTTTATAGATTCTTCTGCCAACTTTGAAGTACCAGAGATTTCTGTTGATATACTTGTTCCTAAGAACCACCTCTAAAGGAGAACAAAACAATTGAGGTCACAACTAGATGACTATGTGAAAATCATGGTGTATGACCGATATATCTTGGCTCCTCTTTGAGAGAACAGAAGGAGTAAGTGAAGGAACCTGAAGGCCAGTCAATTCAACAAATATTTCTGAAGGACCTGCCATGTGTCTAACACTGTGCTAGGTGCCAGGAAAGACATGCAGTTAAGTTAAACCATATTACCTGACTTTGTGGAGTCTTTATTTAGTCTTTTTATCCAAGGTGTCTAACACATAGTAAGCACCTAATAACTACTCATTTGCCAAATTAGGTTCTACTGGTGGTCTAAGTGGTGAAAACAAAGGGTGAAGCAATCTGGAAAGGATTCTTTTTATTTGAAATCTAATTTACAGGATGGGTAGGAATTCATCAGACAAATAAGAGAAAGGGAGGACATTTCAGAAATAGGGAATGGTGTGAGCAAAATCACGAGGGCAAGAAAACGAAGGAGTAGAGGAGGGGAATTGGGTGTGGAAGATTAAAGATAACACCAATGCTTCACGTATAGGAAACAGGGCAAATGGGGGGGGCACCCAATGGCAGTGGGAATCAAGAGGAGCGGAACAGATTTAAGAGACTTGCAGAAGCACAATTAATGGGATTTGGTGAATGATAGGATATGAGAGAGAAAGAAGAAAGGATAGACTAAGATTAAAGATAATACCAAAGTTTGAAGTATAAGAGACAGGACAAAGGCAGGAATCTGGAAAGAATTACTGAAGTCTGCAGGAAGAGCCATTTTGGGGGAAGAGAATGAACTTGGTTTTGGATGTCGAGATTTGAAAGGCTAGTAGAATATGTAGGTAGAGATATCTTATAGGTAGACATGGAAGGAAATAGTTACTACTTAAGAAAAGGAAACAATGTGATGAAAAATGTGGTCTGAAGGCAAAGAGATAAGATGAGAAGTGGGCAGATTAACCTTTTAATGTGGTGTGGCATTATTCAGTGCTGCTTAGTGCTACACCAGAGTATAGATTTTATATTATTCATTGCTAT